ACATGAGTCAGGATAAGATATATGGGTGAACAACTTCTCTATTACAATTAGGAGCGACGTTCGGGTGTAGGTTCTAACACAGTTATCAAGCAAGTGATGTACAGAGTATGGTTGACAAGTGTTTTATACAGTTAAGTAGGTTATTGTAATAAAGAGTTGTTCATCCATATATCTTATCCTTACTTAGTACTCCAACTTCTAAATGCCTCTCAAAGAAGACTTGACATGGGTGAAAACGGTATCTCCTCGGTGTTTCACCTGAACAGTCAACTCAAACTCCAGAATCACTTCCAAGTTCAGTCATCTTGTGATCGGGAAACATCATTATCTCAATTACCTCCAGAACACAAGATACACATTTGTTTAAAACCTTAATCAAATCTAGAGCAGAATCTTACGACAAATATCAAAGTGGCCGAATCTCCAAATGGTCTGATATCCAAATGAAACTGTTTCATAAGCTTGGATCCCTTGAGGACATGGATGTGTCAGAAAAAAACATCCATCCTAGGGCACACAGCTTGTCGCCCTCCAAGAAAGTGTGGGGTAGATCCCCCATCAATCCACCAAAGAGATAGTTTATTCTAATTATATTATGCAGTGGCATTGTAGAGGACTGAGGACTAATTTTCATGCATTACATCTATTAGTCCAGGATTTTACAACAAAGAAAGAAAATTAATTTCACTTTTGATAATGGTAAGGATTATAATGTGAAATCTTTTCCATTTATGAGCTGCATACCAACTTACGGCAAGCTCATGACACGGCTACAGGTGCTGATAATATCCAGTATCAGTCGCTTAAAAATTTACCTGATTCCTGTTTAGAGAGATTGTTGACTATATTTGATAATATCTCGACAACGGATAAGTTCCCTTCGTCGGGACGAAATGCGGTCATTATTCCAATTCCGAAACCTTGCCGTGATCTTACTTTGTTTTATTTGTTTGTTGATTAACGCCGCACTCATTCCAACTATATGACGGGGGTCTGTAAATAATCGAGTCTGGACTGTTTAAATACACAATAAGGGCCCGTGTTACGACGTAAATTGTAATAAAAAGGTAAATTGTAATATTTGCAGCAAATTGTAATAATTTTGACGTAAATTGTAATAACAACGTAAATTGTAATAAAATTTGACGTAAATTGTAATACGCTAATTGTAATAAAAATTGACGTAAATTGTAATAATCTCAACTTGCAGTAAAATGTAATAACTTTTTACGTAAATTGTAATTACCTTATAAGTTATAGTGTCAAAGGCGTTAAATGACTAGAACCTATCCTTGTCAGGGTTGGTACAGGGTTTATCGTACAATTGTCATTAAAGTAAGGGTGTGGGGGAGGATTGAGGTCGTTATCGTGAATTGTTGTATAATTATATGTATATATAAACGCATTGGAATTTCATTTCTATGGTTGTCCAGAAGAGGATTAATAACTAGAATGAACTTAGTTTTCTTATTTATTTGAGAAATACTCTGTGTGTTTTGCATTATATTTTGACGAAGAATTCAAATACATCAAATGAGTGACAAATCTCCTGTGCAATGTCAAATGGAAAAAAACAGTCGTCAGCAAATGCAGCATAGATGGGAAAGGAAAATACTTAATACATAACATTATATACAATGTTTTTGTTAATATCAAAAGAGGGGCGTGGATATTTTTTACCTACATTGCATATACTATTAGATATTGTGTATTCTCGATCTCTGTGAACTTTTCACAGATAAAGAAATAATAATAAATAAATGCAAAACATGTTAACTTATGCAATATTTGTAGCAATATATGATTAACATATGGATAATTAATATAACATAAAATATTTCCTTTCATAACAAGAAGTATATTTAATGAAATAAATGAATAAATGTAACTGTCTGGATTCCTTTCATATGTCAGGAAGAACTAACAACAACTTACTAACAACTTTTGCTGGGATAATAACTCCTTGCCCCCAAAACAAAAACAGAATCCATCATGATAACGGCACGAAATCATAATTCAAAGCATACAAAAATAATATCCGGTATCTTCGGGCATGTCTTGTTGAGTTTCAAAGAGCATCAGAATGTATAATAAATTTGTTGCAATCAATTAGTGCTGAAATATATTTGTTTTGATCAAAATTGAAAGGATGGAAAATCTATAATGAAAAGGGTTTTGTCACTAACGTAAATATTCTCTTTGACCTTATACGAAGAATATTCTAAGATCATTAAACTCGACAATCGTTGATTGATTGCGCCAAGCAACCTTGATACCAAATTTGGTACCTCACGTATAATGCGGTACATAATTGTCGAAACAGATAATTACGTTTTTCATAAGTTATCCTTAATTTGTGACATATATACGGACAAAAATTTCCTCAGAGGATAATCTTCTCTGGGGGTTTAAGAGGATTAAAATAATTCCAGCTAACATCAAGCACTGTAATAAAATATTGAAATTATAGCATACCATCTTAACATTCAAATGAAAAGAATAGTGACTAACTAAGAAACCAAATTATATTTATCTCCGATACTATGCCCTCATCAGTAAACACACACACACACACATACATACACACATACATACAAACACATACACACATAGGTATGTATGTATGTGTGTGTTTGTGTATGTGTTTATGCATGTATGTATGTATGTATGTATGTATGTATGTATGTATGTATGTATGTATGTATGTATGTATGTGTGTGTGTGCGCGCATGTAGGTGTGTATGTAATGACAGTAAATGTGAGCTCTATGTCATTGGCATGACATATATGACTGCACTTCTACATACTCTAGATGACAGTATCATGTACGTAGATGAAAGTTTGTAAGTGGACGATAGTATCTAGATGGCATACTATCATCTACGTTGAAGATACTATCATATACGTAGATGAAAGTATCTTCTACGTAGATGAGAGTATCTTCTACGTAGATGATAGTATTTTCTACGCAGATGGTAGTATCTTCTACGTAGATGATAGCATGCCACAAACATCACATCACTTCCAATAAATGTCTTTCACTATGTTGATGCCACCCTTTAATGACGATTGTACGATAAAGCCTATACCAACCATCCCTAACTAAACAGTTTTGTACGTTTGTCATCATACACAGTATTTCTCGAATTGTACATGTGAAACACAAGCTCAACTGACAAAGATCATTTCTAGTCAATTGGCGTCTTGGACACTACGGTAGTAAGGTTATTACAATTTACGTAAGAATTTATTACATTTTACCGCAAGCAGAGATTATTACAATTTACGTCAAATTTTTTTTACAATTTGCGTATTACAATTTACGTCAAATATTATTACAATTTACCTTTTGATTACAATTTACGTCGTAACAGACCGCAATGATAACTGGTCAAAATGTTAAAATTTTAGGATTGTGAAGTTTTTAATTTGGTTCAGTATATTTCCAAATAACAGAAATTTGGTGTTATGAGAAAGCTATGACAATACCCCTCGCAAGGTTTTTCGTCCTCAAAAGCACAAACTGGACAAAGGCAAATATAAATGGTCTCAACTATGTGTCGCGTTGTCGCCCATACAAAAACAAGCAAAAGATGTCAAACTTAACCAAAGCGCGACAATGCGATAACGTGGCATTATGGCCATTGTTCTAAAGTTTCCAAAGATAATTAAATTTCATTGATAAAGAATGAAAATAAAAGAGGGCTAAATATACAGCCTTGTTTGAAACCGATATGACAGTCCAGCACACACCATCGCTGCATCTTACACATGTTTTCATCGAGGTACAGATGGCTTTAAGGGCTCTTAACTTTGGCCCGCTTAAACCAGATGCGAAGAAACAATTCCAAAGCTTACAACGAGACGAGTGCCTTTCGATAGTCAACAAAGGGAACAGTTTTGTTCACTTGCAAGTGAAAACATGATCCATTGCAGAACTTCCCGTCGAAAACCAGCCAGAATTTCTGTCACGTTTATCTCTAACATTTGCCCAATTAGATGTCTGGTTTTTAATATGGAGGTGTAAAGTGTAGTACACACAAAAGAGATATTTATCGGTCATTATCTGGATTTTGTTTGTTTCCTTTCTTAAGTAAGGGAATTATGACTGACTTTGTCAAGGAGTCAGGTACGGAAGCCTTTTAGGGCCATTTTTAAATTCTTTTTATTGAAATTTCAAGATACTAAGTTGAAATTTCAAGGTACATACCAAGTTGAAATTTCAAGATAATAACTTGAAATTTCAACTGAGTATCTTGATATTTCAACTTAGGATCTTGAAATTACAACTTAGTATCTTGAAATTTCAAAAAATTAGATATTTTTTTTAGAGCTAATGACCCATGAAAGGCTTCCGTAGTCAGGAAATACCTCAGAATCAAATAGCTTGTTTAATAAGATTGTTAAGAATGGAAATATGACAGGTTCAGAACATTTTAACATTTCAATTATAATGCCGCCATGTCCAAGGGATTAGCCATTCTCTCTCTCTCTCTCTCTCTCTCTCTCTCTCTCTCTCTCTCTCTCTCTCTCTCTCTCTCTTTGTATGCATGTATGAATATGTGATGTCTTTTTATTACTCCTTCAGTCGGCCTCGTATGTATAAATAGTTTAGAATCATGAATCGTCTTGGATCATGCGCCTAAGTGGTAGCCGTCTGTGACATGCGCCACCAGCTGCCATGCAGTTATGTAGCTTCGTTTGATAGTGATTTCATGGAAGTTAACGGATGACAAGGTGGACAGAACGTTTATGTCTGCAACTTCTTTATGATACTGAAATAGTGATGTTTCGTTATAGATTCTTATACCTTTGTTAAGCAAGAAGTAGCCGGTCTTAATATCCACTGCTTGGAAAAAAACCAGAACAATAGGCTTCAGATTTAATATTTTATTTACAATAAACTAGACAGTTATATGAACCTATCATGCTTAGAATATTCAGTTAAGTGCGGACACTCATCATAAAAACGTCATAATGTTCAAGCATAACAATCAGCACTTCAGTGAGACCATTCAATCGGTGACCACCCCCATGGTGAGAACTTTTATTTTAGTTGAAGGTTTGGGACCTCGTCAGTTTGCGTCTAAGTGTCTTAAGGGCGGCAGTTGGCGTAGTCATGCGCCGTCTTTTGTCGGTTAAATAGGATCTTGTTTGGCTCACAATCAGCTGGAATATTTCGGAAATGTTGGCGTTGTCTTTGGCAGAGGCTTCCATATAGTTGTGATTCCAGCCGCTTGTCACCATGCATTGAGCTTTGTCTTTGGATATGAAGCGATCGGTGGTTGTCAGATCAGTCTTGTTTCCTACAACAAGGATAGGAACGTCGACAGATTTCTCTTGGACAATCAAATGTCTCAGATTAGCCATGTTCTCAAAGGATGACTCGTCTCCCACAGAATACACCAACACAAAGGCGTCGGCGTTGGTCATGGCCAGTTTCCTTACGTTGGCGAAACAGTAGGCCCCGGGGGTATCGAAGATGTCAAGCACGACGTGTCTGCCGTTCACGTCTATGTCGGTAATATAGCGTTCTTGTATCGTGGCCGCGTAGCCTCGGAGAAACTTTCCAAAGATTAACTGGTTGATAATGGCGCTCTTACCTACTGCCGAAGCTCCCATCACAGCGATCCTGAAAGATCCCTCAGATCCAGACGTGGAAGAGTTGACTGATGGTATAGGCAAGGACATGTTCATCAGATGAAAACCTTGTAACGCTCAGATATGACACTCTCGAGGTCTAGAAAGAAAGTGATACCAACACGCATTTGTCTTCACCTTTTATATGCACTGGATGATTAATTTCCAAGAGCAACACTGCTGACGTCAGACGTCTTTGAATAAATATGTTTGTTATTGGCTTGTGCATGAGACATTCTTGTTGTTGATTGCAAGTGTTAATGTGAAAATAAAATAAAATCCAGGCAAATGTCTTTTTATAGAATATTTCTACTATATATATCATCACCAGTAATCTTTATTTGGCGAGTGAGCGGGATGAGTTTAATGCTGCTTTGAACACGATTCCAGTAATATCACAAGCCAAATGCAATGCAGGTCTTAGACGTTTACCACTTTGGTGAAATACACGAACACAGGTATGGTACTGACAAACCTAGAAACATAATCTAGGCGAACCAGAAATCGAACTCACGATCATAGGTTTTGGGCGTGCCCAAGGGATGCAACTCTTCATTACGGCGCCTTAGACGACTGGACGACCTGTGCCCCCTTGATTAAAATAAAATGGAATTAGTTTAGGTGCCTGGTTGGCAACTGTTTTATCTGAAGCATATAATTTACTAGATATTCAATGAAAAATATTATTTAACGCTGCATTTATTATATTCCAATGTGACGGTAATCTGTAAATAATCTTATCTGGATCAGACAATACAGTGATTGATATCATTAGCATCGATTAATGATATTAACCAAGTCCGCGAGAATTACCATCTGATCGGTTTAGACGCTTGTTGCGACAAGCATAGGTTACTGGGGGCCAATATTCTTATTGGAATCCCAAAGGGTTGGCTCCAAATTGTGAGCACAATACCAACAGAAGGTTTTATCTCTAACATCACTCATATCAGCCCCACTATGCCCGGAGAGCAGAAGGTTAGTTGTTCGAGTCCCGGCCGCGTCACACCAGTAAATGTTAAAAGATGGTACTTGTTCTTTATCTGTCTTGCTCTCGGCACTGAGAGGTTAAACAATAGGGCCTTTTATCTCAGTGGGCTAGCACTAGTTTTGGTAGTTTTAGGGCATAAAGTCACAGACCACAGACAATCGAAACATTTGGTTTGGTTGGTTTGTTGTTTAACGCCGCACTCAGCAATATTCCAGCTATATGGCGGCGGTCTGTAAATAATAGAGTCTGGATCAGACAATTCAGTGATTGACATCATGAGCATCGATCCACGGATTTGGGATACGATGACATGCATCAACCAAGTCAGCAAGCTTGACCACGACAAGCATAGTGGCTTTTTACGGCAAGCATGGGTTACTGAAGACCGGTTCAACCCCGGATCTTCACGGGTCCTGTTTTTAATGATGAGGGGAGACATTCACATTTGACGGAAGCTAATACTCTCTCCTGTCTTGATATTGGAATCTGAACCTAGTCAGATGTCTCTATTGAATTTTTATAATCTAAATATCCTAATCTGTTTCCACCATGTGTTTATCTATTGTCATCAAATACAGACTATACCATTTTTCTTGTTCTTTTCATCTAGATCTATTAAACATGATTTAAGAACATTCTATATCTCAACTGTGTGCGGTGAAGTGATACATCGTCAACCGACCAAAACTGCAGGATGCTTGTCGTACATGTAAGTCGCGACTAACGTATCGGGTGGTCAGGCTCGCTGACTTCGTGACTCATCAAAAACAGGGAACGACGTCAACACTCGCCTGGGAGGTACTTATCGCCGAAAAGCATGTAGTTTAACACCTCACAGGCCTGTTGTTTTGCTGTTGTTTGTCATGATTTTGTCATATATCGGGAAATTTAGCTCTGATTATCATGAATTCAGAGTTATTTTGACTCCGCATTCGTTACTTTGAAACTAAGTGTAATAAGCAACTGATACTCAAGCGTCTTACTCATTGCCCCTGTTATCACAGCACAGAAATAAAAGTAGCATAGAGTTGCTTCCATTCCAAGTTCCAAAAGTTCGCTTTATGTACGTCAACTGTCATGAATATCGCCGTGGTTTCAAACCATTGTGAAACTTGAAACTTTTTTTTTCAAAAATAATTATGGAAGCCCTGAGCCACCGTCTCAAGTGTGGTCTCATCTCCCACAGAATACACAACATGAGGTGTCCGAAAAAAGGAGGTGGTTCAGGTGTATCAAGGAGGTCAATTATGAGTGAGTGAGTGAGTGAGTTAGGTTTAACGCCGCTTTTAACAGTATTCCAGTTATATCACGGCGTGTCAGCTTAATGTGGGAGGAAAGCCCGAAGTGACGCAGGTCTAAGACGTTTACCACTTCGGTGAAACCCACGAGCACGGGTATGGTGCTGACAAACCTAGAAACATAATTGGGGCGAACCGGGATTCGAACCCACAATCATAGGTTTCTGGCGTTTCTGGTTTCTCAGACGACTGGGCCACCCGTGCCCCCAGGTCAATTATGAATAATCTGTCCTTCAGGTCAATGACTTTGGTGTAGCGTTCTTGCACTATTCGCCAGTAGACCTGATACAAGGTCTTGTTTACAAGCTGGTTGATGATGGTTTAAGACGATACATACTGACGTCAACGTTGTGTGGAAACAACACCACCATCCCTGTCTGACAAGGATAGCCACTCCCTGTCTGACGTCATACACTGATCAAGACCATCAACAAAAATAGTATCCTAAATTCATAATATACATACATACAGTCAAGTCCCGTTAATCCGACATTGTTGGTTGCATATGATTATGTCGGATAAACGAAATTAAGCAGTATTAACGTTCGTGATCGAAAATCGGACAACTACACGATAGATAACGATACAAACACGAAATAAAAAAATATAAATGAGATATTCATATTGTTATGTTACATTGTTAGCGGAATGTTTTCTAATCATGCAACTTCTAAAGCTCAACACAAAACAACTGTTACGGACTGTATGACTTATTCAAAATACTTTTAAAAGCATAGTCTGGAATGGAAGTCGCAAGTTTGAAACTAGTACCGCAAAGCTGGGAAAGCTGCTTTCTAAGTGGCTAACGTTAACTTCCTGTTAGTTATTTCATTGGTCGGTCATATTTCGCGAAAGGTTGTTCTGACGTGACCACCTGTAATTGGATGTCTTGCCAAACCTAAGACACCTATTGAACAAAGGCTGTGTGCTCTCTGTTATAGTAGCGGGGTTAAAGTTGAGAGTTAATTCCCTGACAGTGTCCATGCAATAATTTGCTGCGAACAAAACTCATCGCCAAATCTTGCAAAACAGAATAGTGACTTTCATTACATGAATACTACAGTATAGACCATCTGTGCTGGTTATTCAAACCAAACTGCATACAATATACTCTTGCTTCAACACTACAACAAATGTTCAAGAGAATAATCCTTCTCAGTTAGTACAGAGCGTTTTGTATCTTGTGAACTTCTGTTTTAGATTAACATTTAAATGAAATGTATTATATATGTATGTAAATGAGTGCATATATAGTTGAGTGTATGGCTAGTTGGAAGGATAAATGGGGGGTGGGGGGTGGGTGTATGTATGTGCATATATACTCTTCAAAAAAAGAAACTTGACACTGACTTTCAAAATGTAATATAATGCGATTGTGTCAAAATAGGACACAGAAACCATGATTGAAACACTGTTTGAAGATCAATGTACACAATGTTCAAAACATTAATCGTGTCACCTAGACAGACACACGTACACGATACAGTTAATGTCACAGGGGTACAGAAAATGTCAGTATCGGTTGTGCCCACCACGTGCATCAATCACCGCTTGACACCGACGACCCATAGATGCAATCAAGTTGTCAATAACACGCTGTTGGATGTGCTGCCATTCATGCTGAAGTGCATCAAGAAGCGCCGGTAGTGTTTGGGGCGGTGGATTCCTTCTGCGCACGCGTTGATCCAACTCGTCCAACAGATGCTCAATCGGGGACAAATCTGGTGACCGGGCTGGCCAAGGTAATGTCTGAATGTTGCTGTGCTGTAAGAAGTCCTGACAAACACGTGCAATATGCGGTCGAGCGTTGTCCTGCTGGAACTGTCCGCCATGAACGTTGACGTGAGGAAGAACGTAAGGCTGTAGGATCAAGTCTCTGTAACGCACACCTGTTAATGCACCTGCCACATGCACGAGAGGCGTCCTACCACCGTGATGAATTCCGGCCCATACCATGACACCCCCGCCGCCAAATGTGACAACATGCTGCACACAGTTGGGGGCGTAACGTTCACCCCGACGTCTGTAGACACGTGCGCGCCCATCAGCACGTGTGAGTAGGAAACGGGACTCGTCAGTAAACAGTACATTTCTCCACCTTGCACGTGCCCATCTAACCCTCTGTTGGCACCAAAGCAGACATTCCGCCAGATGAGGTGGGGTCAATACATGACGTCGAACAGGTCTCCGTGCAAAAAGTCCAACCTCCCTCAGTCTGTTGCGTACCGTTTGATCTGATATTCTGCGTACCCCAGGGATCTGTGTGGTTGTAGACGTTGCTGTGGTAGTGCGGTCTCGGAGGTGTCGCAGCCGGATGTATCGATCTTATACAAAATGAGTATAAAAGCATGTGCGTTAACGGGATTCCATATGCATTGTTTAGCATCGTGCTGACAACAACCACAAGACAATTTAACGTCCACAGAAACACCATTTGGTGTTTATGACAACGCTGGCAACAGACGAATGCAGTCAGAGACCATCCTCGGAGTGGCAGGCCACGCGTAACCAATAATCGACAAGACAACTGGATTCGAACAACACCTACGAAATCGATTCCAGCCAGCAACAGTGACTGCAAGAAGCATCCCTGGCCTTCGACGAATATCTTCACAAACCGTACGTCGTCGCCTCAGATGTGCAGGGATTGTCGCCAGAAGACCCGCCAGACGTCCCATTTTGACAGGAAACCACCGTCAAGCACGTCTACAGTGGTGCAGACAGCGTCTACGCTGGGCGGCCATGCAGTGGGGACAAGTTCTATTCACTGACGAGTCTCGTTTTCAC